ATTCTGATCCAAGACTCCTAACCTTGTATGTCTCTTCTCTGCTTCTCCAGCCTTCTAGCTTCTAATGTTTTCTCCCATGTTAGATCATTTGGGGTCTTTTACAGAAACTCACTTTCCTTCCCTTCTCCCTACCCCAAACCTTTCCTACCTGGCTCATCAAATCCCTTGGAAGAGACAAGAGGAGAGATTGGGGCCACCTTAGCAGCACCCGAGTCAGGGACATCCAAATGTCTCCCCACACAGAAGTAGCCTTACCTTAGAGGAAGACCTGTGGACAAGTCATCCCAGGAGGAGTCCGGAGGCCTTGTGATGTCAGGAAGGAAGAGGCTTTTTTATACACCCCCCATTTGAAGCCTCCAGGCTACATGTTATTGGAGGGTAGCCACGGAGTGGATGACCTATCTGGATGCTTCACAATTCCTAGGGCTGGATTCCTTAGCTCCACACAACTGGGATGTTGTTCAAAGGGATTTCCATGTGAGTGAGTGACTGGAAGGCAGTCATAATCCTATCCCATCCCCCAGGTATGTCATCCAGGCTTGGCCAGTGTACCCACGTCCACCTGGGATAGGGGTACAACTGTGGTTGAGTTATACCTCGGATTAGAGGAGAAAGATCAGGCTCAATACTACCCAGGTTCTGAGGAGGATCCTTCATGTCCTGCTGCCATCCATCATCCGTCATTTTCAACACCCAGCTCAACACCATTGCTTCCAGGGAGCCTTGCGTGGTTCCCCAGACACATCTGAGTTCTCCACCTCTGGACTTTACAGATGTCTCTCACAGCCTTTAAGGTTGCTCTGGGTCAGGGTGACCTAGATACATGTCCTATCTCCTCTAGTAAACTATTCTTTGATAACAGGGACCTGGTCCTTATCACTTCTGCATTCCTAGAGCCTGATGTTTTCCCCAACACAGAGAAAATGCTCATTAGTGTTTGTTGAATAAAACAATCTATGTGTCATTAGAATAGGCTTTGTTTTTCAAGAGAACAAAAAATAGGAGGAAAATAAAGCCCAAGTTGTTTTTGCTTTGTGGATTAGATCTTGATCTCTTATTTTCACCATTCTCACCTAAGGTTTTTGTGAACACCCTTTCATAAATAGTGCACAGAAATCTGCAGGTGGAGCTCACCTTACACAACAGGCTGGGAAAAGGGTGAGGAGTAAAACATTCATAGACTCTGCTGTCTCTTACAGGCAAAATGGGAGCTGTTGGGGTAATTATGAAGGGACTCGTAATTATCAAGCCTTCCACAGAGTGAAAAGTTTTCTTTCATCTTTCATGAAAATTGGTATCATCATGTTTTGGCAGTGCTTAAAGTGGGAACACTCTTGTCTAAATACAGGCCCTCACCTCTGGATGCTTCTGTCTCAGAATCGCTGCTGATGTGCACAGAGAAGCACAAAGGTCCCGATGAGACTCCGCACTGGCAGGGACTGTGTCTCACCTGCCTCGCCTTCCTGATGCCTGACACACAGTAGGTATTCAGGAAACTGTAAGTAAATGAGAAACGTGAGCAATTACAAGGGACATTCTGTTTTGGGAGCAGGCCTCAACGGCCTTCAGAGCATACACAGGACAAAGGTAGGCAGGGTCAGGGTGTGTGACGGGGGATGAGGATCTAACCAGGGTGGAAAACAGGACAAGGCCAGCAGCTGTCAGAGCCCCAAGGCCAGCAGGACAGGATTATCAGGGCTCACCTGCTCTATCTGGAAAGGCGTTACGATGTAGTTTGGATGAAGGTTGAAAAAAGTCCCTGTAAGTGAAACAGACAGTGGGAGACTGATCTGAAACCTAGATTGCCCCAGTAGAATAGGACCCTGAGAGAGAGCCTGGTTTGTGGGGCCTCAGGGATTAAATACCTTTTTCTTTCACTTGCTTCTCTCTCCTCTCTCTCTGTCCATTTCTCCTCTTTCTATTTCACTTCCCCACCTACCCACCCCTACCTTCACCCCCACCCCAACCCGTACCCCCCAGGCAGCAGAAGTAACTGATAGTCCGCAGAAGTGCTTCATGTGCACTGAGCATTAGTGGGAAGGCAAAGCAACTCTGATCTCAATGTGCCAGTTGTTCCTTTCTTCCTCTCAAGACTTGCATAGACCCATGTTCTGCAGACCTCACACATCACAAAGACATTTCCTCGAGGTTAACTAGCAAGTAGCCAAGGTACTTGGTACCCTTCCAAGGGCTGAGGGTTCTTTCTGGGGGGCTCTGCCCTGGGCAAACTAAGCTTCCCTGATTTTTCTACATCTCTCACAGACCACTCCTCAAAATAAATTGCCCACAGAAATCTCTAGGTCCAGTTGTTTTCAGTACAATAAACTTCATTACATACAGGATGGTGTTGGATTACAAAAAGATTACATTACATTAAAGAAATCATTACAAAAGGATTCGCACTTGCAGTGGAGCATGTTCTGCATCTGCATTTGCCTAGCTTCGAAGCAAGCCTCTTTGAGGCCCCTGAGCTGTACTGTCTTCCAAATAGACTTACGAGTCCAGCTGGTTCTAAATCAGGACCCCAGAAATTTAATGTTCTTTTAGGCCCATTTCCCCTCTCTTCCTGGTTCAGGTTGTATCTAGGAGTGTGATTCAATGACTTGACATGTATCAAGCAGCTACTACGTACTAGATACAGGAAGGAATCAGAGCCCATTTCACACTTCAAAGCCTTCACTCTAGAGAGAATACAGACATGTGAATAGACAACATCAGACAGCAAGTGAAAGGTGGCAGAGAGGCGAGTAAACTTGGCTTGGAGATTGAGAATGGGACTAGTCAGCTTAAGTGTTCAAATTAGAACGATGGTGTCTCGAGGATGCGGCTCCCACTGCTCCTACTGGAGATGGGCGCCCGTCTCTGAGAATAATGCCTTCTCTTTTCCAGTCTCTATCCATGACCCTATTTCTCTGAGTAATAGATATCTCCAGGTCCCCAGCATCAAATGAAGTTGAGTTGCCTCTCACCTGTCTGGGCTTCTCTTCACTCCGTTTTTCTCTGGCACCTCAGACCATGTAGATATTGCTGAAGTAACTCCCCAAATATGTTTTTTAAATCTCTTTTGTTTTGCCCTATTTTTCCATGAATAATTACCCTGACTGCTAAATACTCTTCCAGAGCACTTTGATATTTTCAGGATTGATCTCAACTCCTTTGGCCGGCACTCAGGGCCCTGTACACTTGAGCCCTATCCCACCCGTCATGCTTAGACCCTGGCACTGCCTTAAGTCATGTCTCCTCTGCTGCTGAGCGGGTGGATTCACTGTACGGTGAACTGGCTTCTATCCTTTCTGGCATCTGTTTATCTCTCTCTCTGTCCACCAATCTCTCTTTCTCCTCCTCCCTTTCTTGTTCTTTCTCTCTCTTCTTCTTCCTCTCTTTCTTTCTTTCTTTTTCTTTTCCTTTTCTGTGCTTGCTCCTCTTCTGAGAATATTATTCCCCTCTTTTCTTGTCTTCTGATAATCTATCTTCCAAGGGCCAAAACAAATCCTATGTCCTCTGTAATGGGTTTCTTGACAATGCCTGGCCAAGAAAATCTTCCAGAGCATTTATTGCTTATTATACATAATAAAATTTATATATTATGAATAATTGTGGGGTTTTTTAATGTGATATTGTAAACACCTGAAGATGGGACTATGACGCATACATTTTATGTGTGCAATGAACTAGTGGTTCATTGCACATACTAGTTATTAGGTTTTAAAAAATTTCTGACAGCAACATTTTCAAGGAACTTTACAGTTTACCGAATGCTTTCCAAACGTTATATCCCAAATTGATCAATTCACATGAAATATGAACTCAGGCCATTACAAAATCAGACACTCACAGTGAGTTTGGGACTGTCCACATCACACTGTGGACACCTCAACTATATTTCCTGAAGGGTACAATATTTTTACTTAGACTGTGCCAAAGAGTTTAGTTTGTGTTCAGGAAATCTATACCATGACTCCTATAGGTATTTTTTATTTCAGAATCCAGGAAGAAGGGCTAAAGGATCTTCTGGTCATGGTTTTTTCCTTTGGGTAGAACTATACTCACACCACCAATTATTCTGACTTGCACCCAAGGCCGTAATGGGGACAGGCTTGCT